AAATTAAGCGCAGCCGTATATCAGTCACCGGAGTAGCGGTGGTGGTGATGGAGGTGGGGTGGGGTGGGTTAATTATATTATATTACAGTTAAATATTTAATTTAATATAATAATTGTGAAATATAATTAATTAATTCATGAAAAACTTAATTTTTGCAATTTTAAAACTTGGGGCCTGATTTTTAATTTTATGATAGATAATACCTGATCCATGAATTTTCTCATATTAAAAAGTCATATTAAACGGCCTCCAAATCTTGTATAATTCTGAAGTAATAGGCGTATTTTCAACTAGTTTGTCGAGAAGATCATATTATGAAGTATCTTTTGTTTTTTATTTATCGTTTCTTGGGGATTTCTCCCCTGTTTTGTGGATGTGGCAGGTGGGAAATGTTATTGGACATATTAGGAAACGTTTCATGCTCTCAAGCATTGTTATAGGAGTTATACCAATAAACCATTTTTGGTTAAATTTTGCAATCATGCTACATGAGTATCAAGATCAAGATTGATATAAAGTTTGACATAATGTCACGTGGTTTTTTATCATTAGACAATTTAAAATACAATCAGTTTTGCTATTCAAAAATACAGTTAGTTTTTTCATTTAATTATCTATTGTTGCATGTAATTATGTTAAGCTAGGGATGTCATTTAGCTTAGCGGTTTCGGATGGTTCGTGGCTTGGCCTGGAAAAAACCCAAGCCGGCTCTTCTTGTGGTCAGAGTCTAGCCTCATTTTTGGGCATCGGTCCAAGCTTGAGCCAGTTCATGTTGAGAGCCATTTTTGCCTGTGTTTTAAAATGCCGGCTTGGCTAAGGTTTTTTATGAATATTTTTTAATGTACTATCAAGTCATAATTATATTGTCACAGGCTATCAAAGAGTTTTTTTAAGATCGTGTACAATTATATTGTTTTAAAAAAAATTGTATTTCACGCCTTAAAAAGGAAAAAAAAACACACACACACACACACGAACCGTCTAGGCTCAATATGGCCTGAGTCGAGCCTTGATTTTCCGATCAAGCTGTGGTTCGGTTTGGTTCGGCTCGGATCAAAAAAGTCCAGACCGTTTTTTACTTGAGCCGGCTCATTTACATCTTCGGATCTTCCTACATGCCCATCCAATGAAAATTTAGCAACTGGAAATAGATCCGCTTTGTTTTGTTGGCATATAATTTGCAAGATTTTTGAATATGTTTGAATGCTCGGCTGAACAATAAATTTGGCAATTATGTCATCTGATGTGCAATGCACAATATAAAAAAATCCACACGTTAAAAAAAAAATTAAATGGATTTAGTATACGTATAAATAATTTTCAAGTTTGTGGAGAATGGTCGGTCAGTATTTACGAGGCAAGATAGTATGAGGCACAAATCTTAAGATTGGAGAGGTGGTCAAAAAATAAAATAAATAAAATTGTGGAAAAGGAAAAAGGTGTTGTAAATTATGTTTATTAGTCAATGATTTTTATACCTCTTTAACCTTAGTTATTATGACTATTGTATTTCTTGTAACCTTAATCCTTTCCTATAAATATGGGACCTTGGTACTCGATGAAATACATGCAAATATATTGACTTTTCTACTTTCTTCTCTTGTTTTCTCTATTTTATGACATGTTATCAGTACGAACGCTTACATCTAATGACTACTTTTTGGGGCACCCATATTTCGAGTTCTGCGTTCAATTGGAATATGCCATGTCTCTTCACCCAATTGGAATGTGTAAGTATTTGGATGCATGTTCCATTGAATTCCTTTCCATCTCATTACACGTGAATTTTTAAAAGTAATGCTTTATAATAATTTCACTTGCATGTATTCAGTTACATAAATGATATCCTACCCATGGTGGGTAGGATAAAATATGTACACCACTGACGTGGTGATCAAATCTACAAATTTTGATAATTCGATGTTTAATTCTCAAAACACAACGTTAGTAATGTGCAAGATAACTCCTACACATCATGGATAAAAGATCATTTTTGTATTAAGTGGCTGTCTGGGGCTGATTCCCCAATTGATTAATGGATCGTTACTATCCTCAAGTAGGCCCCAGCCGTGAGAAAAGGTGGTCAAAAAATGGCTAAGTGGCTTTTCAATGGCTGGAAAATTGATTTTTGGGGCTCAAAAATCACCACCAAACATACGCTAAATTAAGGTGAATATATCTTGCAATTATGTGATGGAACTAATGATTGTATATTATTACTTTATACATAAAAAAAATATGATATTGAATAAATTGATGAATTATTATTTTTAATTGATATGTATAATTTATTATTGCTCTCGAATAAGCACAACATTATACTATTTTGGAAGAATATTATTTGCTACTAAAGAGCATAATTTTATAAGATCTAACATATATTATAATTTGGATGATGCTAGCGGTACATCAAAGGTTACACCCCCCTCAAATATTATTCAAGCGGGTCCCACCCCTCATGTGAGGGGCGGGGGATGTAACCCCTTATGTACACCACTTGATGTACAAGTGGAATTATCCTTATATTTTTGCTCATGAAAAGTAAATTCTTACATAATTTATTATCTTAAATTAATGTGTCACAATATTCTAGAAGAATATTACTTTTTTCTTGAATAGTATGAAAATATAATTTTAATATTCAAGAAGAATATTGGTCTATTGCTCTTAAAGAAATAATAATGAAATATAACATTATTTTTCAAAAAAGAGTTCACACAAAATGGAGAGAAAATTCGAAAGCAACAGTGTTAGGAAATTCGCAGAATCTGGACACCCGACAATAGTTGTGATCAATCGTTGATGTTTGACTTGAAATTTGGACAGGAGGTTCACAACTCATTGATCTTCAAATCCAATGGTTACAATCAAGGTCTAACGGTTTGTTTGTGAGAAATCATTATGCAAAAAATAGCAAATTTTGAATTGATTAAAGATCGTGAATTTTTGGAAAACAAAATTTTTTAGATTTTTTTATAGTAATACTTAGAGTTATCTAAATCTATTTTAATCATGTGTTGTTACTCCCGAAGAAAAGGACTTCATATTCGTTCAATATTTCAGAAGAATATTAAATTGTTGCTCATGCAGAGCACAAATTTTGATTTTTAAAATATTATATTGTTCGAAATGTAGAAAAAATTTATA